CATTTTTATCGTGGTATGTGCCCTGAACGCGAATATGAATGCAATTATTCTTTTTTTTTCTCAAGAATTTGATTCCGATTTTCGGATGACATTTTCTATAGCTGAGGTGAAGCACAGAACGATCAACTGCTAACTTTGAACTTACTCGACCACTGATCGTTGGAATTATTGCAGACGATCCTGGGGTGATTCAAAATTATTCAGAGAACATTTCTCTCTTATTTTTTTTACAATTTGGGAAGCGTTTTTCTGTTGATCCCCGGTCTGTATTATAATAGTTGTTGGCGTGAAGATCGGGAAAATGCGGCATTTTGAATGCGTATGCTGTTCTTTAGCAGTAACTGCCCAAATCAGCGTCGCTCAACTGAGAGCCGGTGGCAACTCAGCGCCAACAAACATGAGCGTCTGTTGCTTTTGAATATTTCTGGCTTTTATCTCTTCAATGCGATGGTTCGCATTGAAAAATCAAATCAAATGATATTCAAATCCTGTCGAAGTGAGAATTTCCAAGTTTGAAGCAATAAGAATTTGACGCATATTTGAGAATTTTTTTGAGTGAAACATTTCTCTGAATGTGATTCCAATTTTTCTGTGCGTTTTTGCATGAGTTTCTTGACAATAAATGGGCCATTTTTTGCTCCGGAAAATATAGGGAAATCTCAATTTCTATGGACCAGGAAGCAAATTTGACTTAGGTAGGTTCTGATTTTTTTAGGTTTTGAGTAAAGGAAACAAATATTTTTGCTGCAAAGAAAATGGGAAATTGTAGATGATGATATTCAGGGCCTAAACTTGCTTCTTAATGAGTTTACAGCTCGCTAAACTTGTAGGCAGGGGTTCAATTGTTAAATTAGTCTTTCAGTTCAATTCAAGGTGCATAAAATAACTTGTTTTATTGATTCTCTCTTTCATATTTCAAGGAAATAATAAGGAAAAGGCCTCAGAAAATTCAACTTACACAGGTTTGAGAGAAAAATATTGTACTTTGAGTTAGGGAGGTTTTTAATGCATTCTTTGTATGGGAATCCAGACAGGGACTTCAATTTCCAGTCATCGCAAGAATTTCCAACTCCAAAATAATGTCGCATATTCGAGATCATTTTTGATTGGCGAAGAACGGTAAAAAAAAAATTTCTGGAGCTGGGCGCTGAGTTGTCCCGGCGCTCAGTTGGGCATTTTTTTGGCGCTGACTTGACCCCACACCTCTTTTCTTCTCAACGGACAGCACAGATTCGTAATACTAATCATAGAGCCACGGGAAGAAGACCCGTCACGACTTTCGTTCCCCCGCGCAGGTACGTGATTACCGACATGTGGCGGAAATTGGAAGGCGCGGCGGCGCAGCGTCAGATTCTGGATCTCCACGCTTCTTTCTTTTTTTTTACCATTTTAAATATTGTGTATAGTAGAATTTTCACTTGTATCACGCTTCGGCAGGTGGGAGAGGAAGAAAAACAAAATTGGAAGGAAAGTGCGTAGGTGAAGAGTTGTTTGCGATGGCTGAGATCAGTACTGAGATTTCGGTCGGTGATCCGTTCTGGTTCAGCTGCGAACGTTGCCTTTTCTGGGCGGAATACGGCTTCAGGGTCTCTGCTCCCTATTTCATTTTTTTTCTTGTCTCGGAGGACAGAAGGAGACAGTGGTCTAGATGTCACCCCTGGAAGGTAGTACACGTTCGCGATCATGCAACTGCATCAGAGTTTGAAATGTCGTTTAATTGTTGCGCGGGGAATCCGCGAGTTAGATGTCGCCTCTACTTCATCACTCATGATGAGATTGATTACTTGAGTTATAATCTTTATTTGATTGAAGTCAAATTAACTCTATTAACTGCTTTTCGGCATTGGCAAGGTTCAAAACATTTTTCCACATGCTGTCTCACACACACAAACACGTATACAGTTGAACCTCCCTAAGTCAAATACCTCCCTAACTCAATTTTTTTTTAAGTACCTTTTCTGGATTCCCATAGAAACAATGCATTAAAAATCTCCCTAACTCAAAGTGCAATATTTTTCTCTCAAACCTCTGTAAGTTGAATTTTCTGAGGCCTCTTGGTTATTATTTCCATGAAATATGAAAGAGAAAATCAACAAAATAAAATATTTTATGGATTTTGAAATGAAGTGAAAGACTAATTGCGCAAATGAACCCCTGCCTACAAGTTTAGCAAGCTGTAAACTCATTAAGAAGCAACTTTAGGCCCAGAATATTCTCATCTACAATTTCCCATCTTCTTTGCAGCAAAAATATTTGTTTCCTTTACTCAAAAAAACAAAACCTACCTTAGTCAAATTTGATTCCTGGTCCCTAGAAATGTGACTTAGAGAGGTTCAACTGTATGTTCGAAATAAAATATGTCACAGTGGATAAAAATGAAATGAATGAATAATGGATTGGCACAATCTTCAACAGAAAAAATCACAACACCAGGCAAAATTTAAAGCACACGGCAATCAGCTTGTTCTCAGATAATTATCAATTGATCGAACTATTTAGAGATGAAACACATCGTGAAACTGCCGCATGGAAGTTTTATTTATTTATTTAAATTACTTAAAGTTTCTTTTGAATCCAGAAAATGCCCAAAAACTCATTTATTTTTTTGCTGATATATCACTTGTCTGATATATCACAGTACAGTACGTGCTATTTTAGCTCAGTGCTTAAGAAAAACTTTTTAGCGTATCTCAAATAACTTATATATGAGACCTAGCGTGGTGAAATATTAGGGAATGCGTCCACATGCATCAGGCGACACCTATGTCAGGTTTTTGAAAACTCGTCGCGTCATGACAAAAACGTGGAGCTACTGAAAAATTGTTCGGGAATCTCGATATTTTGTCAGTGAAATAAATCAGATTGCACATTTGATTCAGATAATGAAATATATATACTTATATGCCCACTTTCACCTGTTCCTTTCACGCTAAAGCATTTAATTCATTTTCTTTTCTTTTTTTCTGTTTGGATTCGTCTGGTATTATGGCATCGGGGAAATAAGAGCCTTTCCTTCTCTGAAACCTTTCCCCATTATCCGAATTCGTTTGAATATGTGCGTGTGTGATGAGGAAAAGCGAAAAGCAATGAGGCGCTTTTTATGCTGTTGCGAGGCAAAATCTCGCGGAAATTGAAGATCCCCTCCTATATAGCAACCATGGCGTGATGATGATTCAGCAAGAAAAACGCATATCTCCCTCCCCCCAATGCTTGTTAACGGTTTAGCAGAGCTGCACTGACCACGGGTGTGGGACAAAAGCCGCGGCGACTCGGCGTGCGAGGTCATCACAGGTCGTAACTTTTCCCTGTCCCCGGGGGTATTCTATGCTCTCGGGGTACACAGACACACACGAAAGCGCGCAGTAAATAATGAGAGAAATATTGAAATATTAGGGAATGCGTAATATTTCAATAGAAATTTATTGAATATTTGATAATATATTGGAGAGAGAAATATTTAGTTTCATCATTGAGTTTCATGTGAATTCAGCTACTTGTGGGATCTCTTGATTGTGTTTCCGTTTTTTTTCACGTGGGAATTTTAAATTTTGAAAATTGTATAATTTTTTCCTGTGAGTTTCAGTTATTCAAAAAATATTTTATAACGAGTATTTTTTGGCGGAAGGGCGAAAAAAAATGATGTGTCTCGAGGTACACACATTCAATAACAAAGAATAATGGGAGAGACGCATTTACAGTGGGGGCCCCGACATGCGGACGCAGTGACATAATGGACGAATTGACATAAGAAACAGTTGAAACTCCAATAGAATATCTGCCTCGACATCCGGACAATGTGCTCGAAATATGGACACTTGACCAACATTTCTAAGCACATGAAACAATTTTATTTTTCCAAATTTTGAAAACCAAATAGAATTTTCTATATTCCCTTATTTTTTTTATTATAAATACACTATAAATCATGATCCAAGACAGGTTAATTTTGTGCTTCGTTTTTCAGATCATACCAACATTTCTAAGCACATGAAACAATTGTATTTTTCAAAATTTTTAAAATCTCGAACAAATAGAATTTTCTATATTCACAAAAGTTAAAAACTAAAGTTTATTATATAAATCATGATCCAAGATAAGCTAATTTTATGCTTCTTTTTTCAGATCATATGTACACAGGTTATGAAAACTTGTGCTTTTTTCTTTCTTTTTTTTTGGGCTCTTTTTTCATGCCAAAAGATCAGATGAAGTGTAGTTTTATTTTGCACTGTTATTTTCTGTATTTCGAATAAGTTGAGAGAGATATTGTAATCGATTTTTGAGAGAATTTTCCTAATATTTGATTTCCAGGTAAATAAATATATTCCTAATAAAGTCTAAGAAAAAATGTGATCCAAGATGCGAACGTTCCGACACGGGGACAAGGTCCACTCACCAATTATGTCCGGATCTCGGGGCCCCCACTTTTTGTCATTAAAATTCAAGTGAAGCTAGTAAAAATCTCTCAGTCGCGTATCCCTTTTTTTCCTGGGATTTTGAAAACTTGAAAATCGTATCAATTTACTATGAGTTTCATTTTTCAAGTTTTGTTTTAAAATCTCAGAAAAAGTTTTTAAGCAATCTGTTATCTCTCTTTGAAACATCAGCCTGTTTTCTCTTGCGCATTTTACGACTGTTTGTTTCCATCTCTTCACATTGAATTCTGGTGCGTAATTACTGTATTTGGAAAAGATGAATGACCCGTCGTCCTAGTCAGAGCAACAATACCCCACATTAAGGGGTTCTTTGGGGACTTCTTCCCCCACGTGTCGCAATTGTATCTCAGCGAAAATGAAGCGATTCAAAACGCTACACACACACACTCACAAAATCCCTGGGGTAAAATCGGAATCGCTCTTTTTTTTTCCACTGCATTTCTCTTGAAGAGTCTCATTCGTTATTCTTCGTTTTTTTTCTCATCCTTCCTCCATTTCGGGATTGTACACTTTCAAAAGTTGCGTCAGGATTTTTCAGGGAGGGGAAAAAGCATTTCTTTCTCGGACATGTTCCTTGTGACCCCCGAAATTGAATTTTCTTTTGGGAAAGGGGGAAAAAAAGTTGTGTTTGCTTTTTTAGGTGATGTTTTTTTCAAGAAATATTTGTCTAAAAGTGGGTCGTGGTATTTATTTATTTTTTATTTTTTGACAGGGTTCAATGGAGAGGCTTTCCAGAGGGAAGTTCCTGGCAAGATTTTCAAGCTGACGCATCCGCCAAACGACGACGTTTACCCGCCGAATTTGATCACTGACCTGATGGTCACCACGCATCCGGGAAACCAGACTATCGAGCTGACCTGGACTGCCCCAGGCGGGGACTTCAACAAGGGCAAAGGTCAGCATTGATTTCCGAATTTAACCGGCCTGGTTCAGTTGAAGAAAGAAAAAAAAGGGTCAGGAAACGCCCCGCATGTTCGCGAAATTCACGCCACTCTTTTTCCCCGCAAAAATCCCCTAAAAAAAAACTTGATGGTGAAGTTGCACTTCTGTAAATTAATTGAATTTGAAGGAACAAATAAGTATTTAAAAGGTGTTGGGCATGCACGCCAGGTAAAATAGCGTACCTAGTTCTGAGAAGCAGTAATATTCCTCCCTCCTCAAAATCGCAGCCTGAGCTTTCTTGTGATGATTGTGTACAGTGTAACCTTGTGGAGGTTAAATATAATTAATACTACAAAAGCTTGTCCTTCTTCATACTGTCAGATTAGATTCAATTCAGTTACTGTGTTATTCCAATTTATTCAAGCTGAGTTCAAGTGAGTTGTTGCTTATTCTGACTTTATTCCAAAATACATTTACCCCTCTTTAAACTAGGAATTCTGAAATGGAATCCCGGTCCTGTCCCGGACTGAATAACGTGTTTTTATTCTCGATATCACTGGACATTAAATTATATTGAGGCTTGTGCCCAATAAAAGGCTTTCTTAATTATAGTCAAAAGGCCTTTCCCTCCTGACAAAAGCCCCCCCCCCCTGTTCATGCAAGAAATCAGGGATTACAGGCATTCTTGTAACTCTGGTAACCTAGGGGGGCTTTAGGCAGGGGGTGGGGGCTTTTGGTTGGGTACTGTTAGGGATAATGGCCTCATTTTTCTTACATCAGTGTTTCCTAACCTTTTTGGACCCATGGACCAGCAAATTCCCAAAAACATTTCTGCAGACTGGCAAAATTTAATAAAATGTATGCACACTCAAAAGATCTTTTTTTCTGGGAAAGGCTTTATGGTCAGTATATTAGAAAGTTTCTGTCTTTTTTACAAAAATCAAGTTGAGAACCAATGAATGAGCTGTTGTGGAATGTCTTCATAGATTGGAAAAGTGGGCTTGAAGAAATTTTTATCAGAAGTAAAAATTAAAATAATTTATTTCAGCGTTTGAAAATGTCTCATGCATTATAGTATTTTTATCTTATAATTTCAACTGCTATTGTCTTTCCAAAATTTCAGATAAAGATAACAGACTTCATTGCTACCTATGGTAAATTTATTATGCTGAAGAAAATTTCCTTGAGACCAGCAATAAACTTCTGTAGACCAGTGCCGGTCAGTGGACCAAAAGTTGGGGATCACTGTCTTAGATAACCAATGAAAATGATTGTTTGGTCTAATAAGATTTTCTGCATCCAGGCGCATTGTTGGGTTCAAAAGGATTTTTTAGTGGCAGGACTGGGTCTTATTGTATATACTGTATTTACTTGAGTACCACACGCCCTTGAGTAAGGCACACAGGGGTTTTTCAGTTGGAAATTTGGCTAAAATCTTATACCTGAGTAAGACGTGCACCCCAATTTTTAGTGAATCTAAAACCACAAATTTTCAAAAAAAAATTCAAAAAATTTGACTTTAGACATGAATTGAACAAAAATTAGATCAATTTTCAACTTTTTCAGTACAAAAAAGTTTTCCTGTTACATTTGTTCAAAATTTCTCCGCTATAATCAAGTATAATGCACATATAACCTCCAAAAACTTCTTGAAAATTTGTAGCCACTTATGACGCGCAGACTTTTTTTCTGAAATTTGAGAAAAAAGGTGTGCATGATACTTGAGTAAAAAAAAAGTACAATTGAACCTCTGTAAGTCAAATTTCAAGGGACCAGCAAAAAAAATTTGACAAACCTCTGTAAGTCAAATTTTTTTTGCTGGTCCCTTGAAATTTGACTTACAGAGGTTTTGACTTAGAGAGGTTTTGAGTTTCTGGAATTATAGATGTTTTACTTATAAGAATCAAGTATTTTTATTGTGGGAAACATTGAAGAATTGCACTAACTTCAACGTGGTGATATTCTGGGCCTTAAGTTACCTCTAAAATGAGTAGACAGGGCACTCAACTTGGAGACAGGGGTTCATTTGCCTAATTTAATCTGTCCCATTCTGTCAAAGCACATTAAATTCCATTTTTTCTGTTTTAATAAAATAATACCCTGGAGACCTCAAAAATTTGACTTGTGTAGGAGGAATAGCCTTTGAGTTAGGGAGGTTTTTAATGCATTTTTTCTAAAGGAATTTAGGCAGGGACTAAAAATAAAAAATTCGACTTAGAAAGGTTAGAAACGTGTTTTACAGTAAGTACTGTATTTATGGTTTCCTGAATGTTGAAATACCCCCAATTGTCTGGCAAACAAAGCCTCGGGTTTCGCTTTATCTCCAGTGATCTGGTTATTCCGAGACTAGCGTTGTTCACTGATTAGGACCTCGAGTGACCCGACAAAAAATGGGTTGCGCAAGAGCCTGGAGATGGGCGATTATCCATTCGCATCGGCTCCGACGCCGTGAAATTTCCCGAAGGTGAACTTTGAAAAATGGAATGAAAAGAAAATTGAAAGAACTTGAGCAAGGAAAAGAGCAATAAATCTGCCTGGCGCGTATCAATCACGAGCCCCGAAAGTTGCCCAATTCCGCAATCGTTTTTTTTTTCTTTTTTTTATTATTATTTTATATGGGTTGCACAGAGACGAGATGATGAATTGCTGGGCTGATGAATCCTTCAAGTTCTTCTTCTTCTTCGCACCCGTGGTTTGACCCCGTCTTTCTGTTGACCTTTCATTTTCTTTTCTTCTTCCTGAGAGTACTGTGATTTATTTATTTTTATTGTTTTCCTTTTTAAATCCGATGAGTAAAAAGAAGAAATCCCGAAAGACCCGCTAGTGTTCCTTATTCGGCCGATTTTTGGCAAGTGAAAGCACTCAAACCTTCTTTCGATCACATTTTTTTAAAATTTGAATCCGTGATTTTTTTTCTTCTTTGTCTGAATCCATGAATTTTTTAACCCTCTCCAGCTAAAATAGGTCGCAACGTTTTCGCGCGAAAAAAAAAGAAAATTGTTGACCGACTTGCAAGTCTTGGTCGACTGGCATTTGCAATTAGTATACATTTTGATTTACCTAATTAAAGTCATGCAATTTGTTTTTGCATTTTCCGCGATAGCTGCATAAAATGTTATCATCTTTTATTTGAACAAACAACGGGAGCGTGAAATCAGTTCAAGTAGAACCTAATAAAATAATCTCCTTTTTGTGATTTTTTTAGAAAACAAAACTGGAAGCGTGAAAACGTTCCTAGATTGAATTCCGGAGAAAGATTTCTAAATCTTTCTAGGCTATGATCCAGAAATACATTCACTTTCTCAAGTTGACGAAAAAAAATATGAATAAATTCTCACATTTATTTTGAAATTTCAAACTCAAAATTCAGATCACTGTTTCTTTCACCATTTCCTTCTTCGCATTTTTTGAAGTGTGAAAATTTACTACGATGAGAAACCAAAAATAAGCATCAAAATTTTTGAAAACGTTATTCTGAATCCAGAAGTTTATTCTAGATCCGTATGTTATTCTAAATCCAGATGTTATTCTAAATCCTGTATGTCTATGATCAGTACCGAGAAATAAGCATCCAACATTTTGAAATTTTATTCTAAATCCAGATGTTATTCGAAATCCAGAAGGTCTATGATCAGAAAAGAGAAATAAGCATCAACATTTTTGAAATGTTATTCTAAAACCAGAAGTTTATCCTAAATCCATATTTTATTCTAATTCCAGAATGTCTATGATCAGAAATGAGAAATAAGCATCAAAAATTTTGAATTGTTATTCTAAATCCAGATGTCAATTTAAATCCACAATGTTTATGACCAGGAACGAGAAATAAGCATAACAAATTTTGAATTGTTATTCTAAAAGCAGAAATTTATCCTAAATTCTAAATCCAGAATGTCTATGATCTGAAACGATAAATAAGAATCAAAAATTTTGAAATGTTGTTCTAAATCCAGAATATATATGATCAGAAACGTTAAATAAGAATCAAAAATGTTGTAATGTTCTTCCAAATCTAAAAGTTTGACAGACTTGAAGTCCTTGCGTGCGAGGCGAGTTTCGGTGGCTCGTTGGAAGTCGCTCAATAATAGTCTCCTCTCCTCTGGAATACAGTCAGACCCCAAGATGCGGACATAATTGGTGCATCAAGAGTGTCTTATATATATATATATATATTTTTTTTTTTAACTATTTATTATTATTTTTATTGGTGTGTGTGTGTGTGTTGTCTCGAATTAAATTCCTCGAGACCTTTTCCCAAAGTCAGTTAGTCTTTTTCCTGCGCCTGTGCAGATGAAGACGACACGAAACATCTCGTGCGGTTGATGCCGGGCGATCACGCGGGCGCCTAACGACATTTTAATGCGCCGCCGTAATCACAGGCATCGGAGGCGCCGGCTTGCGTATGCAAAAAGCGTTGCCGCCACGAGAGGAACATGATGAATGTCTCTTCTCGGGTCACCGGGTGGCTGCTTCGATGCTTACGGTTCACCAGCTTCGTGAAACGGTGACAAGCATGTCCCTCTGCTGTATACAGTATGAAGAAGAGAAAAAAAAAGAGGGTTCTTCTCTTATAGTTTGCCTACAATTCCACGTCGAAAATCTTCAAGATCGAACTAAGAGATGAGCCATTGCTCAGTTTCTCAATATTTTATTCATTTAAAATGTTGAAAAACTTGTCAGAAGGGCTTCTTGGCACATTTTCCTACTCGTTCATTCGAGGTTTTGTGAAAGATTTTACGCAATTTGGAAGGTTGGGATTTTGGCTAAATTGAAACAAATAATTTAAATTTGATTTAGAAAAATTGAAATAAATCATCGAAATCCGATTTAGAAAAATTGAAATAAATAATTGAAATTTGATTTAGAAAAATTGAAATTCGATTTAGAAAATTGAAATTCGATTTAGAAAAATTGAAATTTGATTTAGAAAAATTTAAATTCGATTTAGAAAAATTGAAATAGATAATTGCAATTTGATTTAGAGAAACATTGAAATAAATCATTGAAATTTGATTTAGAATAATTGAAATAAATCATTGAAATTTGATTTAGAATGATTGAAATAAATAAGTCGAAATTTGATTTAGAATAATTGAAATTTGATTTAGAAAAATTGAAATAGATAATTGAAATTTGATTTAGAAAAAATTGAAATGAATAAGTGAAATCTGATTCGGGAAATTTGAAATAAATTAGTGCAATTTGATTATTGCATCAAACTCCTGAAATTTTGGAAATTCTGATAACAGTACAGTATTTTCAGTGAAATTCTAGAGATTGTTGAGTTATCCAAAATAAAAATTCTGTGGAAAAGATTTTATGCTGAGCTACAAAAGGTTTTCTGAAAATTAGCAAGATAGCTCCAAAAATGTGAGAAATAAAAGTAAAGAACGCCGCGGAAAATTTTGAAAAGAGGGCTTGAGGTGAAATTTTGAAATGATATGCTGAAAATTCGTGAGGTTTCACAGACGATTTTCACAAAAAGAAAAATAAGTTAAATATTTTATAAAACAGTTATCTCCTGGACCTGTTGAGAAAATTGATACCTTCAAGTTAAAGTCTGGTTACTCCCTTTTACCTATTCCTTGGTGGGGGGGGGGGGGGAATTGCTTGAAAATGAACTGAACACGAAAGCGAATAACTATGTTATACAACGAATTGGAAGGAAATAGAATAAAAATGAATATATAACACCTTCAGTAACTGCCGCGAAACACGAGAATTCTGAATGGAAGTGAAACACGCCACAGTTTCATCAGTGTTGCATGAACACTTCTTTTTTTTTTCATGCAGACTTGGGGAGATTGTGTTGCAGCATGAATAGACTTTTGGCACCTATCAGCATTTTCCAAAAAAAAAGAACGTGAACAAAACACGTAACAATAAATCTTTCTTTTTACACGTGTTCCGTGAACAAACCTGTTTGAAATCATAAAAAATTACTTACTTCATGACATTCAGACCTCTTATAAATTGGTTTTAGACGTCCAACAAGCTTTTCTTTGTTGTGGAATTTGTGAAACAAGTGCTATTTCAAGTACAGTGAGACTCCCACATGTGGACAATTTGACATAGGGACAATTATTTTTCCATATGAATTAATAAAAAGGCCCAACACGAGGACACTGACTTGACATAGGGACATTTTGTGATAAAATTGCATATAAATGTCAGGCCAAATTACAAGGAACAGATATTTCCAACCTTAAAATTGATGTAAGAAAAGTTCTAGGGCATTTCTCTCAAGAATTTCCCATCCATTTAGCTAATTAAAAAAAAATAACCTCCAGCATAGAAGGACCTCCTTCTCTCTTTTTCACTTGAATGTTATTTTTACAGAGAATGCCTACATTTCTACGTACTGTACAGATGTATCGGTATTCAATTCCCCGATTGTCCATATTGCGTTGAAATGTATTGATTGAATCAGTTTAAATTGGGAGACCATTTTTATTTTCATGAAATTATGGCAATAATTTTGTACATAAAACACCAATTAAAACTTATAGAATGTAAGTCTAAGGGAAAATGAGACTCAATGTAGGGACACTCTTGATGCACCAATTATGTCCGCATCTTGGGGTCTGACTGTATTCCAGAATTTGCAGATACTTTGAGGAAGCCCCTTCCCTTTACAAGGTGGGTGACCTTGTAACCAAGGATCACAAGTGCTAATTTCTCTTGAAAATTTTTTGGCTCAAAACACGGTATTTTCCCATTAGAGGAGTGTTTCGCTGATGATATTTGCGCTCGCAGGTGTTAGTTTTATGGACCCTTTAATTGACCATGATTGCGGAGCAGAGAATCGCACTTGATTGCAGGGATGCGGAAGAGTGTTGTAGAAATAGGCAAGAGGTCAAAAGTCTGCCATTATGATCCTCGATCGCTTCATCTCTCGCCAATTTTCTTTTTTCGAACCCTGCAATTGATTACTCAATGCTCAATTGATTATTCCATGCCTGGATTTTGCCTTGTAACTGTAAACGCTCCTTGGGGCGGTTTTCTTGTCTTACTTCATGATTTACAGTTGAACCTCGGGGAATCGAACCTCCCTATATCGAATTTTTTTTAAGGCCCTGCTGCAATTTCTTTCAAGTAATGCATAAAAAAAAACCTTTGAAGGCTTTCTCCCTCAAAACCTCCGTAAGTCGAATTTTCTGGAGGCTTTTTGGTGAAAATTTTAGTGACGCAGGAAATAGAAAAGCAATAAAAATGTAACTTGATGCGTTTTGAATTAAATTGAAAGACTACCTTAATTGGACAAATAAAACATCGCCTTCCAATTTCAGCACCCCGTCAACTCATTCAAAGAAGAATTTAAAAACCCAGCAGAATATCACAAATTTTAATTTTATGTAATTTTTCTTCCACTTCCCCATCAAAAATGTTTTTTTTTTTTTTTTGCTTCTGTAACTCGGATTTTTTGCTGGGCCTATGTATTTGAAGTTCGGTTTGAAGCAGTCGGACTGTGCTGTATTCAAAATTTCCAACACTCCTTTTAGATACTCTAATTTCGAATTCACAGATATAAATAATATGATTTTTAATCATTTTTATTTTTTTCTTTGTTTTCTTTTCTTCCTGTGGCACAGCTGAGCGATACGAACTGCGCTACGCTGGCGACTGGGACGCCCTCCGAGGCGACCATTTCCCGTCGGCGGAGAACCTGAAAACCCGGGCCCCACACCCGCACGGAACCCAGGAGCGGATTGTTTTCTCAGCTGGGGAATACGGTTTGGCACCCGGCAAGGTGTTCTACTTTGCCATCAGGGCCCACGACGGTTGGTGGGGACCCGTGAGCCGCCCCGTGCGAGCCTACTTGAAACCGGCGCCGACTTTGAAGCCGCCGTCGGCGTCCCAAGAGGGAATCAGCGGATTAGAGGACGAGAACGGCGCCGGCGGCGGAAGCCTCTTGTCGTCAACCGGCGGCTTCCTGAGTTTCGAGATGATCGCCATCATTTCCGGGTAAGTTTTTTTGCGAAATTGGCATAATTTAAAAATCCTAATTATTTCGATGAAAAATTTAAATACTGTACTCACTCCCCTTGATGAACTGGGATCCTTCAAACAATTATTCGGAACTTATTGTATTTTACAATTAGAGTCTCTTGACAACTAATATCTAGTAGAGATACTCCTTAATTACGAGTGTTTTAAACAAAAAAACCAGAGACAGGGTATCGGAATTGAAAAAATAAAGAATTATTGCGACACGTTGCGAAATAGTTTCATGGATCACGAAAAAAAATTGAAGATTCTAATGCAGTTCTACTGGAATTACCGGCCATCTTGAGAAGAGCTTAAGTCATCCCTGTAAAAGAGAACTGTGCTGTATGTATGCGTAAAAATGAAAATTATTAAGGCATGCGACTAAGAATCTTAGAAACGCATCTTAAGTTTTTCAGAACTTCATTCAATTCAAACCCTCACTCTGAAGTTTTGCTCATCATTTGACATCTCTAGAATCGAGTCATGGGCGCATGATCAATTCATTGACATGAAAAGGAACTCACTTATTGTAAGATAAAAAGTCTTGCACAATTAAAGTGTAAAAACTGGTACCGTACTTACCAAGAAGCAAATATGAAAATCCTTTTTTCTAATACAAGTTTTAAGGTAGGATTCGCTTGAAAATGTTTCATGCCTGCAGCATGAAGAAATTTAAATAACTGTGGTAGGTTTAGAATTTATGAAGTCTTAAACGAGTCTTAATCTTCTGCTTTTCATGTTAGATTATGTGTAATGTGTTACAAAATCAGTTGAATAAACTTTTCAGTGAATAAATCAATAACGTTTATGGGTAATGGTAGCAACTTTACATTTGTAGATTGCATTTAAGGTTGAATCTCGTTTCTAGCAAATGATCGTTTTTAGGTAATAAGTTACTTTTTGAAGAATTTCATCCTTACAAAAACAAAGCTGGTACCATTGTAATGAAAATTTTATTGTATTTTTTCCTCGTCAAACAAGTGGAATCAAAATTCGAATCCGTTAAAAAGTACGTTAAACATAAAGGGGTAACGTCTAGGTATCCGAAGAACCAGTAGGACCGGTGTCAGTGTGAGACGATGAAGCAGCACAAGTGGTTCTTCTTCGGGTTATTCTCGGGGCTTCTGGACTACCAAACGTCGCCATCTGGCGGAGACGGCAAAGCCGAGCCCGACCTCATCCGCTCTCCGCAACACGCTCAGACCGCCATCAAAATGGACAAGTCCGCAGAGCTGGACTCTGTCACAGAGCTGGAAACACTGCCCGAGTCCTACGCATTCTACGCCCGGTCCGGCATGACCAGCAACGACGGCATGATGATGGACTCGACCCCGTCCCCGAGGTCCTCACACGTGCCCAACAGTGCGTCGCATTTCATCAGTGCTTCCGAGCTGTTGGCAGAGCACGAACGGAGGAAGTCCTACTCGGTGAACGCCAACTACACGCCGGACGTCGAGGCTGTGTACGCCAACTTTGACCCCAGGACGAAGACCTACGGAACCAAGACTGCAGGTGAATAAATTCAACTTTAAAATTTCTTGGCGGGGTGGTGGGTATACCGGTGAGCCAAACAAGTAGTGCCGGATGTTGGAGGTCATTTTTTATGACGGGTGCCAAAATGTGCCAAACCACTGGGTCGACCATCCTTTTTAAATGTGAGGGGTTGGAGGGTCATACTGAAGAAATCTAATGGATTTTCAAATGTACAGTATTCCTGCTTCATTATTCCTAAGATGGTGTGGGAAATTATGCTTAAATATGCTGTAATAATAATTTGAAAGAGACAAATATAATCTTCAGTATTGCCCTTTAATTTGATGAAGGAGGATGGTGGACCCTGGCCTGGCACAATTTGGCACAGTCCAGCATTCGGCTCTACTTGTTTGGCTCACTGGAAGAAAGAAGATAGCTATGCTTACTGTAAATCAGTGTCATTATTATTTAAATTAATGATCATCTACAATATTGTAAATATTTTAATACTGTATTATTAGTACTAAATTCAATAACTTTAATAATGCCTCTAATATGTTGGCGTCCAAAATATGGAAAAATGTTCAGCAAATGAAGGAAATTATACATGATCATTTCATTTCGCCTTCAGGAAAAAATTCAAAATTCGACTATTGCATTTAAGCTAGTAATCGATTTTTGTGCAATTGTATATTTACTCTCCATAAGACTTGGGAAGGTTTAATTTCGTACATTTAATTTCGTAATAATGTAATTATTTTCTATCTGTAAGGGATTCGCGGTTCCCTTAACCCATCCTCGAAAAAACAGCTGTATTTTATAGCTGAATATATTTCATTTATTGTTCGCTTCTAGATACCGTACTGTACCTTGGGCACGAATGAGAAAAAAGTTAACCCTGACCGATCAGTGAATTTCAATGAAATTTTCGAAATTAATCAAATTAATGACACGTTGTTCAGTTAATTTTCATGCACCCTTGAGTGCTCAGAATTCATTGACCTATCCAGGAGGCGGGGATTCGTAGTGGTGGGCGTATGTCCTCCAAATTTAATTTAATGGGTCGGGTCAGGGTTATCATTTTTCTCATTCGTGCCCAAGGTACGGTATGCAGAAGCGAACAATAAATGAAATATGTTCATCTATAAATTACAGCAGTCTTTTCGAAGATGGGTTAAGGGAATTGCGGAACCCTCAAAGCAAGAAGAAAAAAAAATACAGTATTACCGTGGTTCACATTACTAAAACGCCAAATATAAATTAACGTTTTGCTTGGCACGCACGAAAATATATTATATATTGTGATTAAATTCACTTAAACACGCAGAGTTATTAAAAACTAGTGCAGTAGTGTACGCATATAATTAGTAGAGTTCATTATTGTCAACTCAAACGCTGAAATAATTCTTTAGAAATTTTAAATTTAATTTCAAATACAGTATTAAAATAATAATGTTAAACCTCAATAATCAAATAACTTTTAACTCTCTTTAAAACGAAATTCGTCGTTTTGATTCCCTTACAAAGAAGGCATAGAAAGAAAGAAATTCTCCTTAAACCTTCAGAATTCAAATTTTCTCGAGGCTTCCCGGCTATTATTTTATGTACACAAGAAAGAAATAAGCTAAAATTAACTTGAGGATGTAAACAAATAAATTCTTGCCTCCTAGAATCAACACCCCATCAACTTATTTTAGAAGAAATCTTCAAGGTCAACAATATCACCAATTTCAATTTTCTGTGATCCCCAACTCGAAAATTACCCGCGAACAATTTTTTTAAAAACAGTATTTGGATCCAATTATGGTTCAAGTCTTTCTTTCTTCAAAGAGTCAATCACACACACACAAAAAACCCCGCTTTTCTTCGAGTTTCTGTAAAAAATCTCTAAAAACAAATTTTTCGCGTTTTCCCGTTTCGCTTCAGGAGTGCCGCCACCCGAGTACGCGCCCAACGGCCACCTCGGCTACGACTCGTACGTGAACGCCAACGGCGGCACGGCCATTCTTCCTGGTTTGTTTGTTTGTTTTTTGTGCGTTTTTGTTTTTGATCCCACCCTTTTTGCGAGCGATGGGGGTTTTTGCAACAGAAAAGGTTCCCGAGCCTTTTGCAATATTCGGACACCGTGTTCATGCCAATATATCCACTCGCCCTCATTTTCTGTACGAAATTTCGAGATTTCTCAGAGGTTGATGATTATTAAAATGAATGAAAAGATGATCCTTTGCATGAAAATGAGTCTGAATGATGATAATAAACAGAAGAGGTTTATTGAAAATTTATTTCGTATTCTTCACTTCTAAGTACAGTAGATGCTAATAATTTATATAAGACAATCTTTAATTTATTGAAGTTTATTTAAACTCTTTAAACTATTTCTTAAATAGTTTATTTTAACACCAAGTTTATATTTATTTTTAGAATTGACCAAGGGCCGTCTGATTAAATCAGTTCAATGCTCAATAAGACTAATTTACAGCTAAATTTTGGTAGTTGCTGAATTCATAGTTCACCTGAATAAGACCTTCTAAGTTTAACTTGGTACAATAACTTTGATAAACAAAGTCAATTCTTTGATTGAATCAAGTATGAATATGATTTCAATATGATGAGTCACACTTTTACCCAAGAATTCAGGAATTAAATTATTTAATATTGTTGCACGTCCAAGTTTATTTCACTAGTTATACTGTAGTAAGTCTCAAATATTAAGCTCCTATCCAAGAGGAATAAACTTTTCGCTAATGTCGTTGAATCACTCTTGGGAAACGCCTAAAATGGGTTTTTAATAAGATAATATTCTAGCTCATTCATAAATGAAAACTTCAATTGAAATATGTATTACATTGAAGAAATAAAATGAGAGGAGATTTTGGCCTGAACACGTGCCCACGCAAAAAAAGGCTCGTGACTCTTTTTTTAATGAAAAGAAAATCCCCCCGCACAAAAACAAATCAATTCGCGTCGCGCTCTCCGAATATAGCGCGCGTTTTTTTGCATATTTTTTCGAGAAAACAAAATTTTTTTTTTGGCGCGATGCTCCTCCTCACCTTGGCGGAGACACATGCACCCACCTTGCGAGGCCTGATCTCTTTTTTTCTGCGGTGGAATAAGGAGCGAGTGGAATTAAAATTACGTTCGCTCATTTTGTTTTCAAACTGATTTGATTGAGATTTGCATTTTTGTTTTCCTTCCTGGCCGAATGTAAGTAATTTTTTTTTTTTTCGGAAAGGACGTGAAGTTTATAGTAACGTGGGGGGTAGTGCAATGTCTGCTGCTGCTGCTGTTGTTGTTCACCCCGCAAAGAAATGTTTGTAGATACATCAACACAAAACTGGGAAGTGATTTCTTCTCGAGGAGAAAAAAAAAATTAAATCCTGGTTTTTTTTTTTTCCTCTTGCCCCTGTGCCATAGCAGCGAATATTTTTTCTTTCTCTCCTCAATAAAATCAAACGAGGAGAAAGGAAAGAAAATTCGCATTTCATGTCTTTTTTTTTTTAGAAGCCATTTCCAACCGATTTTGAAGAAGTTCTAGTCAAAAGTTTCAACAGGATTTTTCTTTTGGCGTGAGTGTTTTTTTTTTCTTGGGGACAAAAAAGGGGCGGGATTAAATATATTTTCCATTTGACAATTTTAGCCGTATAGGTGTAGAATTTCTTTCCTTTTTTTCCACTTTGAAATCCGAAAATGGTTTTCTTTTTGGAAAGTGATGGACTGTGTCCCAAACCGAGTGTTATTAACCGTGCTCACGAGAGATCTGTTTTCTTTGCTGACGGATTTGGCAAGAAAAAAAAAGTGTATACGACAAAGAAGAGCTATGGTTTTTTTTTCAATCTCGTTTCAAATACGCGCTTTTTAACCAGAGAAAAGAAGTCGTGAAATTCGACTGCGATCTGTTTCCTTTTTTTGGTGTGTTTTTTTTGAAATTTTTGAGTGTCAAAAAATTGATGGACTGATTGATTGATTGTTTTTTATGATGTCAAAGTTTCCTCCCCGACGTTTTTTTTTCGCAAGATTCCGTGGAAGGACAAAATAAAATGAAAATTGCGGAACATGAAAAGTTGTTCTTTTATGATTTCGTGATTTTTTATTAATTTACTGAACTATTTCTTTCTCTAATTTTTCTCTACTACACTTGAACTTCTCTCATTATCCCTCAAAAGTATTCATACTTTTCTCAACCAACTTTTTAACATTTCCTAATCATCAATTAACAAGTTAGTAATTTCTACTCTTACACACACCGAGTATTGCATAAACTGGACTGGCATTTCCTTTCCAAAATCCCACCACAAACTGCAAGTTTAATCCCATTTCCTGATGAGAGCTCTTTCTACAGATGGACTCTCTACAATGAAATTCCAGATACAAAAAAATCGTTATACGAAGATTCTGACAAAAGTTCTCGGAATAGAAATTAATCTTTCTGGAAAACATATTCTTTGGCAAAATAAAAAATCGCATTAATTTTTTTGCAGGACAAATTTTTTTTAATATTTTGCAAAATTCACCCTGGCAGGGTTTTGCCCTCCATTCAAAAGATGAGGAAATGCCTGTCTTCCTGTCGATTTTGTTGTTGTAGCCCAGCGTTCCCCTCAGAATTTTTGAAATCAACGAGGCAATAATTCCAAGGGTTGCCGAACAGGGCTGATTTTTTTCTTGTGCCAAGGAATATGTTTTCCATAAAGAATAATTTGTTTTCAGCTAAATTATATGCCATTTTAATTTCTATTCAGAGAACTTTTGTTAGACCCCTTGTACACAGAAAATCATTTTACACAAGATCCTTGTCAAGACAATCTACCCACATTACATAAGTGTGTTTTTGGGGTAAAGAAAGGCGTGCTGGCTAACTCAAACATCTACCTGCATTACGTTAGTAAAGGAAGACTTTTGTAAAAATTTTGAGTTAGTACTGCTAACTCAAACCTTCTTCAGTTGAAAACATCCCTACGTCTAATTTTTTTCTCAGTCCCAGTTCCTTTCAATTTCTTGTGAGAACAGTGCAAAATAAGATCTCCCAATGCAAGTCAAAACTTTCCTCATCCAAACCTCTTTGACTAAAATTTGAAGGGCACTTCACACAATTACAGATAAACCTCAATGACTCAAACCTCACTAAGTCAAATACCCCCAAAGTAGAATTTTTTTTCAGATCCTCTCTGAATCCCCTTAGAAACAATGCATGAAAAAACCTCCCTTAGTCAAAAGCATCTCCTCTGAAACCTCTGTAAGTCGAATTTTCTGTGGCCTTTTGGCTAGGATTTTCTTGACGCAAAAAAATAAATAAAAAAGCCATACCATTAAAATTTGATGCGTCTGAAAAGGAAGTGAAAGACCTAATTGGGGAAATGAACCCCTGTCTACAAGTTCAGCATCCTTTCAAATCATTCAGGAAGCAATTTAAGCCCCAGAATACCACCATTTACAATATCAAGCTATTCTTCCATGTTTCCCAGAACAAAAGAGCTATATGTGTTGCACCTCAGACCTCTAGAATTCCAAACCTTCCCATGTCAAAACCTCCTGAAGTAGAATTATTTTGCTGGTTCCTTGAAATTCGACTTAGAGAGGTTCAACTGTATTCAGAGGGACTTGGAATAATACCTTGTTGAACTAATTCAAGTAGCCATTTAAGACCCATAAAATCAGCAATTAAATCATGTTCAGTATTTATTCTTTCTTTCCCTCAAATTGATTTTTTTTTGCCGGGTCCTTAAAATTCGACTTAAAGAGGTTCGATTGCAGCTTATCTTCATCGCAGAAATTTTCATCATCATCATCATCATAACCGTGAAAAAATCCGCAAGCCTCGACGCCTCTCGAGCTGACACAGGACACACCGACGTCGTTCATTCAAACAAGAAAAAAAAGCCGCGCAACAGCGGAACGAAACTCGATGCCAGCCACTTCATCAACACCATCTCTGGCCGCTCGTAAAACTCTCGAGACAAATAATGAGCGAAAAACGCTCATTTTTCCAATTAAAGATCGTCTTCAACTTACGCGAAAGAAAGCGCGAGTCTATATGGAATAAAGGGAGACAACATCTGCCTCATCCTCGTTTGCGCCGCGACAATAATTAGCGCATCGGCTCGGAAATCATAACGGCGCCTGGACGTCGTTAACGCCGACTTGGGAGACGCCAGATAATGAGTCACAAATTAGCCACCCGCATTGCAACTGTTGAAACGAAACGACCTTTTTTTCCTTTTTTATTAAAAAAAAAAAAAACAATTGAAACGTCAGCATTGACTTTTGGTACCCGCATTAAAACAACGGCAATAATTAGTGAAACTTGAAAGGTGCAAAACCGGCAACATATGCAGTCGGGCATCGCATAGTGGACACCTTGGCCCTTCGAGACCTCGACTTGCAACCATGTTCTATTAATACAGTGAGACTCCAAGATGCGGACGTAATTGGTGCATCAAGAGTGTCCCTAAGTTGAGTCTCATTTTCCCTTTGACTAACATTATATAATTTTTAACTGGTGTTTCATGGACAAAATACTCATCATAATTCCATAAAAAATGGTCTACCAATTGAAACTAATTCAATGAATATTGTTCAACATAATATGGACATTTTGAGAATTGAATACTGATACCTCTGAACAGTACATAGAAATGTTGTCATTCTCTGTAAAAATAACGGTCAAGGGAAAAAGAGAGAAGGAAGTCTCTCTATGCTGGAAAGTAATTTTTTAAATTATCTCAATGGATGGTAAATTAATGAAAGAAATGCCAAAGAACTCTTCTTAAATACAATTTAGGGTTGAAAATATCTGTTTCTTGAAATTTGGCTTGAAATTTATTTGCAATTTCATCACAAAATGTCCCTATGTTGAGTCAGTGTCCTCATGTTGGGCCTTTTTTTATTAATTTTTTACGGGGAAATAAGTGTCCCTATGTCAAATTGTCTGCATGTCAAGGTGTCTGCATGTAGGGGTCTCACTGTATACCCCCAATTCCTACCCATATCGCAATTGTAAAACAAAAAAGGACCTTTGAACGGTAAAATCCACTCAATTCAGCATCTCAAAACCATATCATCAAAATAATTTTTGAGCAGTGGTTTTAGCCCCCACCTTGAAATAAAGAGGATTTAAACATTTTAAACTGAAGTTAATTCAATTGTGTTGCATGTGATTCATATACACGAACTAAAAATCTTGATTGTACCTTGTGAACGCTGAAAAGTGGCAAATAAAGTGTTCTGTTCATTCATTCAACTACAAGGTGGACATTCTCTACAGTAAAATTCAGATACCAACAACAAACAATTTGTTATAGAAAGAATTTTCTTTTCAAGGACTCCTACAACATGTGGAGAAAACCCTGTTGGACCACAAAAAAAAAGCATTTGCACAAAGAAAACAGATCTAGACAAGATCATTGTAGATAGAGTCCGCCTGTAATTATTGTTGTTGCATAAAATTACGATTGGAAGAAAATAACCATACAAAACTGGATAAAAAAACAGTTCTTTAAAAACTGAATTGGGATGCCTGATGTTTTTTCCCTTGCTTCCAGCAATACAGTGGGTACCCACATAACAAAATCAATTTTCCTGGACGAGACTCAATTTTTGTCATGTAAAACGCGTTTTTCCCCTCAGGATTAAATTGCTTTTAACTTACAGTAATTGGTTCCAGCCACTCACCAAAAGAACATACAGTTGAACCTCTGTAAGTCAAATTTCTAGGGACCAGGAAAAAAATTTATTCAGGAGGGTTTTGAGTTAGGGAGGTTTCCAGTTGAGGAAACAAGCACTTTTGTTTTGAGGAGAAGTGAAAAAAGCATGGAAAATCATAAATGAGGATATTCTGGGCCTAAACTTGCTCCTTAATGAGTTTAAACCTTGCTGAACTTGGAGGGCAGGGGTTCATTTGCTATATTTGTTCATCGCTTCCTTTCAAGATGCATCAAATTATTTGTTTTAATTATTTTCTCTTTCATATTTCAAGGAAATACTAACCCAAAGGCCTCACAAAATTTGACTTACAGAAGTTTTAGAGAAAAAGACTTCAACTTAGGGATGTTTATTAATGTATCAATTCTAAGGGAATTCAGACAGGGACTTGAAAAAAATTTTACTTAGGGAGGTTTGACTCATCAAGGTTCACCTGTATTGAACTAAATTACTAGACAAAGCAATTTGAACATTTTTCAGCAGATAATTGCTAATTTTTATTTGGTTTAGAATTGAACTGAAGTAATACAGACAGCTCTTGATGCTCATAACTTTCAGAATTTTCAAGTACAGAAGGATGCAAAACTTTCCCCCTTTTCTCATTCCTCTCAATGTTTTGAAAA